ATTTAGACACATTCAGATCACTGTGACAAACTGGTGCCAAGCCAAGCTCATTACCCCCAAAGCCATCCCTGGGGCTTGTTCTGAGCTTCACCCATAGCCACCAAGCACAAGTTCTCTCTCTGCAGACATAGAAAACCCTGCAAGGCACAGAAGTGACAGATGAAAGTAAAATTGGCCAGAGAGTGTCCCAGGGCTGACCTGGGGGCCCAGTGGGCACTGCCAGCCCTGTCACGTGCTGACTAGGCCGTCACCTAGGCAAGGGTTAATCAAGCGTTGGGCACCCAAGGGCTCTCTGAGATGCATCTGCCTCAGGATATGGCCTTGTATCATTATATTATGTTTTGGGTACATATCTGATGCAAATTTGCTTTTATAATACAAAGCTGAGTTACTACAAGTGTTGAGAGCAGAGCTTGGCACTGCATGACTTCTGGAAATGCATCTATCACCTGCATGCCACTGCATACAGAAGCTTTCACAAGAAAGGCAGCATTTGGCCTGAAGGAGCTCTCTGGATCCTCACATTTACATGTTTAAATACACATCTGTTTTAAAATAAGGATTGATTCTCTGTCAGAGTAACTGCAGTGCAGACCATTCACTTACAGCACTACACAAAAGCAAGCTGCTTGTTCAGCTCCTGTGGGACCTGACACATTTCGGCCTGTATGCTGTATTTCAGAGTTTTCCTAGAGACATTTTTGGGGAGCTCCCCTGAGCAGCCAGTGGAAAGGAGAACTGGCAGTGTGGGAAGCACGTTTCACTGCTTAGCTCCTTCTTTTACCCAGTCCACCAGAAAGTCACATCATCCCAGCTCATCACTGACACACGCTCTTCTGAGTGCAGGCCCACAAGGACAGCACTGGCCACAACCATCCCTACCAGTGCCATCCCTACCAAGCACAGAAGCAGCTGGCTACCGGAGCACCCCACAGCACGTACCCCACACGGCCAGCTCCATCTTGGAGCACAGAGTTGCCCTGGAGGTCTGCATGCCACAAAGTGCTCGCACACCACAGCCAGAGCCATCCCCATCACTCCTGGGGAAAGCACAACAGGATAAAATTTATGACCTTGCAAAACACCTCCATGAACCTGTGGGAGCCCCAAGGCACCTTGTTTTGTGCTAGCAAGTCTTTCATGGCCAGTGTTAGCTGAGTAAACACCATGCAAAGCGAGTCTATTTTATTTTGAGTTCTGAAACTACCTGGCAGAGCACTCTCCCTTCTCGCACCAGGCTCTCCCTCCCCAAGCCCTTGCTGGTCCCAGAAAGCACGTAGGAGGGATATCTGCAAAGTATCCATCTCACCTACGGCTACGGGTGAAGGCAGCACCCCCTTCATGGCAGCATTTGGGGCAGGAGGTTCGGCTCCCAGGGGCTAAGCCCTGCTCCTTCCCATGGCAGGCCTGCCTTTGTGGGGTGTACTTCGACAGCCACTGACTCTGTGCCAAAATACACACTTTTATTGCTTACCTTGGGATCTTTGCCAGTACTCGCACAGCTTTTTGCTGGTAATGAATGGAAAATACTGGCTTCTGTGGTTCCTGTTGTGCAGCTCTCACCTGCCACGCTCCAGGTTTATTTTGCCCCCTTGCAGGCTGCAAGCTCTTTGCCACATTTGTCCTCTGCATTGGCCAACAGTGAGCTTACAGGTTGTGTTTATAACTGAAGAGGAGAAAAAATACCCTCTACTGAAGAAATGCTTTCAAACAGATAGCCAAAGGATTAAAAAAATAACACCACCGTGCTGGAATACAGGCTGCAGTGAGCGGTGGCTGCACGGCCTGGCAGCCTCATGTGTGAAGCAGGGGCCAGGAGGTCGCTTCCACTCTGTGAAGTCCATGCTGACTCTGTGTTTGGGAGTGCACGTGAAGCCAAATTCCCGATTTCCCTGCTTGCTAGTATTTGGGATTTGACAGAAGTTCAAAACCTCACATTCAAGACAGTTGGGGAAATAGTACACACAAAACAGCACAGGGAGCAATGGAAGTGTAACATAAACAGTGCAGGAGCTAAAGCAGCACAAGAGAAACTGGCATTGAAACAAAGAGGTTTTACCAGTCTGAATAATGTCTATTTTTCAGATTAGCCTAACTGGGAAGTTTGTCTACCTAGGAGACAATGGCTGCATCCAAGGCACTTTATGCAAAGACTTGGTGGTCTCTCTCTACTTCCTCCTCTTCCTGCACCCTCTCCACACACAGGTGAGCGACACTCGGTGACGGACACTGGGAAGGATGTGGCACCGGCAGCAGCTGCTCCAGTAGGCCATGACAGCGCTGAGGGCCTCATTCTTCTGGCTGCTTTCAGCACACTCACATGCCAGCGTAATGAGGGGGAAAAAGGAAAAAAGTCACTGATTATTACTCAGGCCATGGTGCAGAGAGTCCAAGAGAAGACAGCATCTGTCCTGGTTCTTATTGTATCTCTTCACGTAAATAGAAGCAGACAAAGAAACAAAGGTGGCTTCTCTGACCAGAGCCCAGCAAGCAGTAGCAGTTCAGCTAGGCCGAGGCTCGCTGATGAAGTTGCTCAGTAATAGAAGTCTTGGGGGTAGATGTCACAGCAGAACAGTTTCGTGCTAAATTCTTCTGGGCTTAGTGAGTGATCTTCCCAGTGAGAGCTACAATACACCGCCATAAGAATAACAATAATAATAAAAAAAAAAAGAAGGTAATTTTGATAATTTGGACTGTCCTATTTGCATTACTGATGCAGCATGGAAAAAGAAGCAGAGAAGCAGCTCAAATTTCAAATTCTAAAATTCATAGCAAGAACAACAAACTGCAGGCAATATAGCTCTTGAAAATGAATCCTGGTTGGCTGCCAAACGTATTTTTCAAAACAATGCCTAATTGCCTCAGGAAATACATTAATCAAAGTGTCCCAGAGGCCCGAGAATCATTTGCTGCAATCCACTGAGGCAGGGTAGTGATAAAGACCTGAGTAATGTGAGGAGCTATGCATGTCCTTGAGACAAAACACTTACGTGAGGGGCAGGAAAGGATGCCCAACTAAGAGGTCTTAAACAAATTCCTCAGGCAGCTCATTGACATCGCTCTTCGGAGAGATCAAACAAGAACAAATAGCACTCTGGCCACAAGGCCAGGAATAGAAATTAGAGCAGCTCACGACTCGTGCTGTCCAAACTGATGTACAGAAGGTGGCACCAAGAAGCAGCCCGTGCAGGGAGCAGATCAGGCCAGCACAGGGAAGCCCTCAGCCCACGCAGGGGCTCTGTAGAGCCAGTCAGAGGCAGACTGTGGCCTGGCTGGCGGCACCAGGGAGCCCAACACCCAGGCTCGAGGCTGACTGGGGTGCACACTGGCACGGCCAGCCCTGTGCACTGACCCAGGCACCGCAGCGAGCCCCAGCTTTCCACAGCGTGCTCTCTAGCACATCTTGGCTGTTCACTTGTGCTGCTGTTAGTGTGCACCCAAGGCACAGCGAGCTCCTTCCTTACATGACTTGCTCAGCAATCATTTTAATCCACAACACACTTCCTAACCCCTCTTCTCTTGCATTACATAAGCTTTCTAAGTCTGGTGTGCAGTTGCTAAGCAGTAATTTTGCATGACAAAAGAAGAAATCCATGATTGCTAGGTTCACCAATTTTTATTTTTTTCTCCTTTTTTCTCCTCCAAACATTGCAGAACTTTCATCAGCAGGCAAAAACAAGGTTGAGAACAGGGCGAGCACATCATAGCTGCCTTCTAGGAGCCTTTACTTCCTACTTAGTCGTTGGGGCAGGAAAACTTTGGTATAGTACAAAACTGCTTATGATACATTTTCTATCCTGCCAGTTAATCTGGGACAAGCAGAAGTTCCCATCTGGGTGCCAGAGGCAGCTTGCTTCCCCATCCCCCTGGTGCAGGGCATGGCCGGTCCCAGCAGTGTACATTCATCCAGGTGAGCAGCAACCCCACACAACTCAGCACCCTCAGACACCGGATGTGTGGGGACCTCCAAGTTTTCTCCTCTGCTAGAAGTGTTGACCCGCTACCACCGAAAGGTTTCCTTTCTCACCCTGAGACTCACAGTTATGCCCCATTCATAGCCCTAAATATTTTTCCCCAACAGTTCCAATGCTTATTTTTCATAAGACTAAGTCATTCCCTGCCTCAATCATTTTTAATAATTTTATCTTCCTTTGTCCTCAGTGAAAGATCTGCTTTCCTTCAGATCCCACTCAAGTCCCTTTACCACTACCACCCTCTTGTACTTGTTTCCAATGCTTCTCATTTCTTCATTAGAAGTCCAAGGAAGGATTTTTTCCTCATGTCCCCCCCTCCTGCTTCCCCCTGTGCCCTTTTTGGTGTCCAGCACCCCCACCATGCCATCAGATACAGGTCCTGCAGCACTGGAAACCCTAAGGTCAACTCACAAACTACAGATAATGTTTATTCATTGTGGAAGTCAATTCATTTAAGGAACAAATAGAGTCAATGATGACCTTTGCTACCAGCAGACCTAGGTTATTTTATCTTCATTTAAGTAGTATGAGTACCAGGAGTACTAGCTTCTGTATTTCCATAAAAAGTTGAATAAGTATAACCTAACGTGATTGCCTATATGCACATGCAAAATGCTTTCTTGGTTGGCAAAAAGAAGTACTAAGCCTACTACAAAGACAATACTTATTTGTGTACTACCTGCTTGAGTGGTTATCACTCAGGAAAGACAATTTCCTTAGGATAGTAACTAAAATGATAACAAGACTGAAATGGGGGCTCTAACTAGACACTTAACATGAAATGACAATTAAGTAAAAGCGAGTAATTTCTTTTTAGCTGAAGCAGCAGTGAATGGGGGACACTTAGGGCCATCAGGCAACACAGGGGTGAGGGAAAACCTCCCACATTGTGGGGACAGTGGGAGGGGAAAAAAAAAAAGTGGGGGGATGATGCCTTCCATCCGCTGAAAGCCTCTCCCTGCTCTGTCCCTTCCATCAGCCCCACAGCAGCCACCCAGCCCAGACCAACGCTCGCCATGCACTTACCCGTGGGCATCCCCAGCTTCGCCCTCTTCCTTCTGGAAGCCTTTGCTCCTCACTTTTCCAGGAGGGCTGCTCCTCCCCTTCCTGGCAGAAAGGCTGTGGTGCAGAGACGCTACTTATTGCTCACAGGAAGGGAGACCAGCTGGTTGCAACTGCAGAATGATTCCTTCTCCTCCTGGTGCCTGAGGGGAGGGAATGGGTAAAACCTCCAAGCAGCCTCACCTGGTTGCTCTCCTCTGGAGCAGGTGTTGGGAGAGGTGCCCAACCAAAGCACCTCCCCTATCCCTAGTACCTTATGGTATCTTTCTTCCCCACAGGGCCCTGCTTAAGTGCCCAAAATTCACTTACTCCTTTCTCCTTTTTCTCTTCAATTATTGCCAACCCTTCAAGCTGGGACTTGGGCTTCCACTTTTGACTTCCACTTTCCTCAAAGCTGCTGTTTAATCCTCACCCCGACTTCAGTGCAAAGCAAGTACTCTGTAAGGTATTTGCATTTGGAATTTGGTGGTGTATCCACCTACTCAGGGCATCTATAGCTGTGTAATGGTGAACTGCAACACCAGTTTGTATATAGTTAATTACAGCAGTATACATCATTTATGAAGGAGTAGATAGCTTGATGGTATCTTTTTTTTGGTTTACTTAAGAGTTCTGAAGCATTCTGTAGAAGCACCCCGGGCAATGAAGAAAGAAAATTTCAAACGAAATATAAGGAGAATTTCCTGGGAACCTTAACAAAGTATCAGGCCCTGAAGTATTTAGATCAGAGTGGTCTTGTCAGAAATTGTAAAGACCTAACATGTTTCTTTTAATTCAGAGGCTGTTCACTGTGAAAGTTATCAATGTAAACAGTGAAACAAACAGCATTTTTGAAGCATGTTCATTAAGTACAAATAAATAGCTTGGTGTTAGAGTTCTAAAAGCAAAATTTAATAAATTAATATATGCATGCCAGATAAAAATACAAAATTACAATTGAAATAGCAATCATAATAAAGGAACACTGCTCAGCATTGCAGATTTCACTGCAACCACCATAAACATCATGGAGAATTACTTAAAGTAACATTTAAAGTACATGTTTTGTTTCTGTTAAAAACAAATTACTATATGATGAAAAAACTGAAAGAAAACCAAGAACAAATCAGCCAAAAAAGTGGCAGAGAATGATATGAAGTGTCAATAAACTGCCAGAGGCTCAATTTCACATAAGTCGGCCTTCTTTTTAGTATCAGAAACCAATTACATAGAACATAAAAGCAAATTCACAACAGGTTTACACTGAGAAACATGCTGAATTACAACCACAAACTATCCAGAACAAAGATGCTGCACCAGATCAGTTGTTTTCTTCATGGAATGATTCTCACCAGAGCAGGGAGAACAGGGAGCAAATCATGCAATAGCTGTAGGCTTCTTGTTTTTTATTTTCACATGATAAACACCCAGGATTACTAGTACTGGAAAGTATGTGTTAACCTTTTTCAACATCAGCTGAATGGCACTACAGAAATGACAAAGAGTTCCTTCATTTTTATCCTGAATACATCGAAAGCTCTAGCAAATATGGAATGCAGCGACGAGAGCCATTAAATTACTTTAAAATATTCCTTCATCCATAGAACACTGTTGCTTCCTTTTTTTTTATTACAAAACCCCCAAAATATTCAAAATAAAATGTCTTCATTTTTTATAAGCATCTCCACCACAAGTCTCTGATAACGGATGTCATTCAATGCAGCCATCGCATCCAGTTCTGGCGCTCTCATAAGAGTTGGTCCGAAAACTATGCCCAGGTTCTCTGCACTCATGAGATTTTCCTTTTCATGAAGTGTTACTCTGTAAGAAAGGACAGAAAAGTGTTTTTCACTGACTGAAAGACGCCTTCCGTGCCACACTGTACCTGCACAGACTTGACAAAAAAAATAGGGAGGAGAAGCTGGAAACATCTTTCTGCCTTTCTCCCAGACCTGGATCTGACCTGAGTCAGATGTCTGTCCTCCCACCAGGCACACAGGTTGATGAGCACTTTCAGTCAAACTGGGACAATTTTGCTTTTTCTCTTTAATCTGCAGCACTTGGAGGCCGCTCCCCTGAGAGACAATGGCATGCTCCTGGAGAGCCTCTTGGAGCTGCTACGTGAGCAGCTGAGCTCACTAGAGATGCATGATGTGACTCCATGCCATGTGGTCACACCGCTGCTCCCTCACGCATGCAACTGCAATGCAGGCGAGGTACACGTGAAGTCACTGCCTTTACGCATTACATGCTAAGTGCGCTAAGCTGGCCTGAATGCACCTCATTCCCCTCCAGCACAAATTACGTCCTGTGGCTCGTACTAAAAAGAAATGAAATCATCACTTTGGGGTGGCTTTGAAACCATGAGGATCTCACTAGAAGCTCATTTTCACAGCATCTGCAGCATGCTATGAAGTCTGTGCTCTGACAGGCCTACTCCCAACCCTGCCTCTTCTTTTGTGGACCCTAACATCTGCCAAGCAGCTGAGCCCCAGCCCATGGTGGGCTCCTGCTGCCTGGTCTCCATCTGCAGAAGAGGAGGGATGGAGAGAGGCCACGTTTTGCTGCTCCACAGGAACCTGACCTCATCAAAGCTGTGGGCTGAGGCCCTGCTTCTGGGCACATGTGGAGGCTGCCTCCAGAAACTAATTCCTGGCCAAGAACCATACCCCCAGGAGAGGCATTCTCTGCTAGGGCTACTGCAGAAACGTCTGCTCAGCCAGTGCCAGCAGTGTCGCTCCTGCCTTGATTCATCCTGGTGAACTGCCTCACTTGAGGAAACAAATTTGTATAATGCAAAATTTAAAATATACACTATTGTTTGAATCTCCATATGGATTCCCAGAAACAACTACATATCCAGGGGCAGTAGTTGAAAGCTTTTTTGTAATTTCTCTTTTCACTGCTCTGGCAACTCTTGTTGCATGAACAAATATATATATATATACATATATATATATATAAAGATAAGCCTTTTCTCCCTTTTTTGTCTTCTGTTTGAATTTTTATTTTAAAACAAGGGGGATTGATGTTTCTAAACTTCTATATCTTCAACTAGTAGTTATCTCAGGTAAAGGAGCTGTGTCTGATTACCTGAATTCAGCAGCATGACAACAACTTTTCCATCCCCGCAGCCCGTTTTAACAAACATACCAATGGGAAGTTTAAAAACAAGTGAATTTCTACCTTATTGTTCACCTATACCACAAATATGATGTGCCAAAGCAACTTGCTAACTGGAGCAGCAATTTTAACTCTTGAACAGGCTAAGGAAAAATTAACTTCACACTTGACAAGCCGTTTTTTTTTTTTTCTCCAAGTCTTTCATCCCTCTGTCTGTTCTAAGAGATACATTTAAAATGTCACTGAAATAAATGGACAAATCAGGCAGAAACCCTGTAGATGAATTTTGCCTGAGGTACTCAGCAGAGTCAACATATTCCTACTTGTAGAAGAACTATAAAAGGAAAAAAAAGAGCTTAAAATCAAGTCTTTTTCTAAAGAAAGAGAGTAGTTCTTATATATTGCCAATAAGTTTGAGTTATTTGGAAGCTGAAATTGATACCCTTACATGTCATATTGATTTTTCCCCCCTACTTTCCTGAAATAAATAGGACCTGTGCTGTTGCACTGGTTATTCATCTGTCAACCTGTCTAGCAATTTTTAAACCTAATGACCAGTTTCAGTCACATCTGAGGGTGGTGGAGAAACCTCACACTGAACTGATGCTCCTAGTGGCAGTTGGCATGGGGGGATCCATGCTGGCAAACCCCACTGCACCTGGGGTTAGATAGCCAATTAACTCTGTGTACAATATCCACCATCTTTTTTAGGGTGTCAGGGATGATCAGGTTAGATGAAACAGCAGAAAAAGCCACCAATCCATAGGCATTAAACTGTGTTATTTCCTTGCCCGGGGAGTAACTTACTACTCCTAGCAATACTACAGGCTGTTTTTTTATTTTACCATAAACATTCAAGTTAAACATAGTGCAAATTTGTTAGGCGAATGACATTTGTGCTTCAAAACTGTGGGCTTTTTTTAACTTATGTCCTTCAGATACTTTGTGAATGCTTGAAGTGGGGTAAAAAACAGTGTTTGGGTATTTACCACTGTGCAGTCTACCATTTACCACCACAGCCGGACTCCAGGAACAACTCTAAATTTGCTTTGCAGAATTTGGTGGGCCTTGCCCAGACTCTTTTCAAGGTCCTAACATGGACTTTCCTACAAATGAGTTTGGCTTAGTTCTTTCCAGACAGTCCACCTACCTCTTCAAATGTGCCATGAGATACCTTAATGTTTCACAGTGTGCAGGCGGCAGCAGTTTCAGCGCCTCATGGAGAATTTCCAGCTGTTCATCCGGATCGGTGGTTTCTGAAACACAGATGTTCATGGTCACCACATGTACAGCCGGATGTCACGCATGGAAGGACAAGAACAGTGGCCTGCAGAGGAGAGCAGGACCTCACAGCTCTGTTGGATTACTTATTTACAGAACCTATTCAAACCTCTTTGTGGAGGATTTGCCTATCCAAAGGTGCTTAGAGCACGGTCAGGACGTGATTGGTTTTAGACAAAGAAAACTGCCTAAAAATTATACTCCAAAGGATTCCCTGCAGCCTACTAAAAAAAAATCCCCTAGCAGCCCCTGCTGACTGGACTAGTTTTGCACAAACAATCTACAGGTGCAGCCCTGGAACAGCAGAAGGTACTGGGAACTTTGCCATCAGTTTCCTTGATGGTGTCCACACTGTTTGAAAAGAGCTTTCTCCAGAGCAGCAGCAAGCCCAGCATCTGGCCCTTCTACCCACAGCCAACCCCAGACCTCTCCAGGTGGGCACAGTGTGCCTGTCAAGTCGCAGAGCTGCTCCAGGCAGCCAGGATGCTTGGCAGAGATGTTCCAGCTGGGCTTACATGTCTGCAGAGGCCAGCCCTGACAGTGGCCTTAGGATGGGCACTTATCAGCTTGTAAAAACACTCAAAGTGGACATCTCTAGAAACAAGTGGCTTATCTTATTTCTAAACATTTTCATAAATCACCTTTCTAGCAAGACAAAAGCAAAGACTTTAAGTGTCACTATCCAATACTAGGTATTCACATAACACAGGCAAAACAACGCAATACGTAAATGTGAGGAAAAGGAAGCATTCCTGGTGACAAAGGGGAAGAAAAATGTTACCTACAATTGTGTGGTACTGTGTGATTGTGTTACAACGTGCAACACATATTTATTCCTTGATCCTTACTAAATAGAACATGCAGCAGAAGAGTTGCTGGGACAGAATATGTCAATAGGCAAGTCATGCACAAAAAGAAGAAAAGAATGAGAATGAAGAACAGGAGGAAGATGTGTTATACGTACTTGCAGACTCTATAAACTTTGGGTAGGCATCATACGTGATGAGTGGAATTGGCAAATCCCTGAAGTACAGTTTAAGTGCACCAGTGATAATATTGATATCTTCATACATATTCACAGAAATATCAGCTTTCTCCCCATCTGTGTGAAGAAGGCATTGACATTAAATCCTTGGAAATGCAAAGAGAGGTAAAATACCATTCAAAACAAAAATAATAACTTGCTTAAGCAAACATTATTAAACTGGACACGACTATACATTTTGGATTTATAAGCAAAACAGTGCATTACTGGGTTGTGAAGTTCATCATTTCACAGTGAAAACCTCAAGACTTTTACATAGATACTCATCCTTTCTTCATTTCAAATGACTACAGAATTTTTTTTATATTTTTTTTAGGAAAAAAAAAACTGCTTGCCTCTTCTAGCTCTATCTATGTTGTAGAAACGTGTGGAAGTTTAGCTATTTCTGTACACATTGCATTGCCAAACAACACGTTTGTCAGCACTGCATGACAAATTAGGGAAGGTCTGAGAAAAAAAAAAAAAAAAAGGCAAAGGAAACCAATTTTGTCCACAGCCTCCCTGTCTTATAAGAAAAACATATGTTCACCATTTAGCTACAGCGTACTACCTACTCCTGACCGCAGTGGACATGGATCCAAACCTTGGCTTCTCCAGCACATCCCCACCCTGCTAAAGCTGCAGAGGAGGCAGATGTTGTGTGAATAGGTCCAGTTCTCTGCTGAAGCAGGAGAGAAAGTTTCCAGAATGGATTTTGGCCTTGATTTCTACTGGGATAGGGGAACTGCAGCTGGAAAGCCTTTAATTTTCCTACTGCCTTTTGCCAGAGAGAAGAGTCTGTTCTCACTGACTTCCTTTAGACTGTAATAATTCAAACTTTGCATGACTGTATTTATCTTATTATTTTGGAGCTTTCATCCAGAAAGATGAATTTAAATTGCACAGTCCTCTTAAGGCACTTCACTGCTTGCCCTATCCTTCCCCCACCCCCTTGAGCGTAGTTTTACTTGCAAACTAGGGCAGTAGTTCAGAAAGCTTTACCCTTTCCTATGTACATCATCACTGAAGCACAGACACTGATGGAAGAAGAAGAGCAGATTTTGGTAATAAAGGCCAAAGAAAAGCTGATGTGCTTTTCTGATGGGGGAGACTCCCCCACTCTTCTGCCAGAACAGCCCCTAGACTCCTTCAGACCGCCTGCGCAGTGGAGCATGAGACAGGCAGGGGCTGTGCAGAAAAACCGTGTCTATTCAACACAGCAGCATGAAGGTACAGCATGTGGGAAAGAACGTACCTCTGTCAAATGCCATTTTGACATCTTCAATAAGATCACTAAATCCTGAGACTCTGTACAGTCCTTCAGAATTAAGACCTGCAATGAATATTTTAACAAGATTAAAATCAGTATTAATTTTAGTTTCCTTCTACCCAGTTCCCAGTTCTTTTTTTTTTTTTTTCCCCAGGTTCTTCATTTAAGGGAGAAAAAGCAGACCAGTTTTAAAAGCCTTATCAGGCTTTCCTTTCAGAATGAAATCTCACCCTGGCCTTTTAACCCTGAACCCTGCATTAGCTGCCTTGTTAAATCAGCACTAAATTACGTTTATGCTAATGATTTCAGAGCTGAAGAAACATATTAAGCCATTTACAACGGATTTAAAAATAACTGAGATTAGCATGTGAGATGTTCAGTCATCATTTCAAAATGAAAACAAATATTCTAACTCTAGAAAAGGATATTCTGTGTGCTAGGGGAACTAGCAAGAGGAAACATCAATACTAACTGGTTTTGCTTTAGCACATTCCCTCGATTTTTTAATAAAAATATTACTGGAAAAGATAGGTGCCAAGATGTGGCTATAAAGCAGTAATTGTTCATTAAGCAATTTCTAACAGAATCTATAAAAATTATAAATGGGTACGAACCATGAAATAATACGAAGTATAATATTAACAGTGCGGGGTAATTGGCAGTCATAAAATGTCTCGTGCAAACCTGTTTTGAGCAATCATACACTCAGCAGAAACCCAGATGACCCAGATCAATCTAAACGGATTATCAGTAAAGCAACGAGAGCCCATTAACTACGCCTTACCTCGGGATTCAATTTCCCTAATGCACATGTCTACTACCATCGGTCTCTTTGTGAAGTGTGCTTTTACTAGCGTGGTAAGGTCACAGCTGTACACTTTTTTGACATGCTTCAGGTCTGGCTTGCAGTCATTTGGGACCATCTTGGAACACTGCTTGTGCACATTTAAACCACAATCTGAGAGAAAAATGAAAGGACGATTAGGCTGGTGCTTGGTGAAGATGTATCCCGAGGTCACTGCTGCCGAGTGTGCGTGGATCCTGACCTCATCCTGCACCTACTACTTCTGCAGAGACCTCCTAATGACCGAACGCACAAGGCTGGGACAGACTTAAAGCAACATATTTTCTACCTAATACATTCCTTCCATGCCTCAAAGATCCAGCATGAACTGATTAACTTTCCCCAGGGTTTACTGAATCAAAGCGTAAGAGCCAGTTGTGTTCCCCGCCAGTATTTGTGTTGCCACCATTACCTAAACTTTCCTTCCATGTCATTGTGGATTTCCAGGTGCGACAGCCCAAGCACAGCATCGCTGGTGACAGGGCCCTTTTCCCCACAGGGGGAGCAGAGATGCAGCTGCAGAGTCCCCACACTGCCGGCGGCACTTCACGAGGACTGCTCCTCTGATACAGGCTCACAGGCTGTCTGTGAAGCTGGCAGTCACCAAAACAGTTCTATTTATTTTAAAAGTAGCTTTGGGAATGTTTGTGGGTTTTGTTTTTTTAAGCATAAACAAACAACTCCACACCTTCATTGCAAACATGCTGAGAATGAAATTTTGCTTAAGTGAAACTTAATTGAAATCAGATAATCAGATTATGGAAAAACGTTTGGTCTCTCCAAAACCACACAAAACATATTAATCAGGGTTTGGGGACAAAAAACCAAAACATAGGAAAACAACACCATGCAGTGAAGATGGGTAGAGCAGTGCAGTACTTTTTAAGCTAAGCACATGCTGCTACCAGCAGCAGCCCTGGTGTGCCCAGCCAGCTTCTGCACTACCCACAGCCAAGGGCAGTGCCCCCATTTTCACTGCAGTTTCTCCTGTTTTGTAACAAAGACTCACAGGTTTTTGTGAGAAAACAGCAGCCAGCAAGAAGCATGGCATGGCATGGTCAAGGCATTTGCCATGGTCTAACCTGTACCTGGTATTCACTGAGACTTCAGCCTCACATATCTCCGGTGCCATACACAGCCCCCTGCATTTCCACAGCAGCAGAATTAAGGGATGTAGGCGCTGGAAGGATCAATGGACGATCAATGACTTCCTCGATGGAAATCCTTAACTTCCCACTGCAGTACTGAACAGCTAGCTGCGTGCAGAGATTCCCTTTGGATTTTTGCCAATACCTGTCTTTTTCCTTAATGCTCCATAGATTATTTGACTTTGTTCTTTACAAAACAGTAAAGCCCAGAAGTTTAATTTCTACCACGTCAGCTGCAGCCTGCTGCTAACAGCACTGTGTTAACTCAACAGGCCTGTAAAACCACCAGCACTGTCACTCGGGCTCCTCTGTAAAGCATCCCCTCTCCGCTTGCAGTTCAGGTTTGGCGCATCACCTCAATCACCTCAACCAGCCCTGGGCTCCAGCTCCAGCCTGATTAAAGCTCCCCTCAGCTTTCTGTGCAGGAACGCCCCCTGCCCTGTGACGGCGATTAATGCCCAAGCTGGGGAGCTGCCAGCTCTGTATTTCACTCCTGTTTGTCAGTTTGTGTGGTGAACACACCTCAGGCAAAGTCATGGAGGTGAAACCTGCTCCTGCAAGCAAGCGACACTACTGAATAAACTCTGAGTATGCCTGTCAGTGGAGGCAAGCGCACCTCTACCCACGTTTAAATACCACCAGCGCTCCTTGGCTGAACTCTGGAAAATCACGTCCCAAAATTCTTTGGAAACATCTGACTTGAATCCTCCAGCATCTCAGTGCCTCAGCTGTAAAATGGGAAGGAGATGATGTTCTGGCTTTCTCTGGTGCTGCAAAACCCCTTAGAGGTTTGTGGGAACGCAGAGGAGAAATTATTCATCTTTGGAGTGCAGTTTCAATACTGTGCCCTCAGCAAGCCCAATGGCTACACTTTTAACATCAAGGAGAAATAAAAATTACTAGGTAGGTGCTAGTAAGCAAGTACCATCCGTTCTGCTTTCAGAACAAGGATGAAGTGGTGGAGTAAAAATAGCATGTAGCCAAATAATTAGGGGCAATATCTCAATGCACACACGGAAGGGAAGCGAACTGATACCCCAGAGAAAACCTTAATTCTTGATTTCCTTTAATTTGAAACCCTAACTTTGCAGTAATAATAGTATTTATGAATACACATTAATTATTGTACATTGATTCCTAAAACTGCTGCAAGAAGTACCTACTAAAGCATGGACGAAAAGCTTAAAATACAGAAATATTTATCAGAAATGCTCTAACATGTCTATCAAAACTATTGTCTACAGGACTGGAATGGCTGCATCTTACAAGGACTCACTAGTAATTTTGTGAGTACAAATTAGCCACTTCAGATAGATAGCAATGTAGCTCAGAGTTACATCTCTGGGAATCCAGGGCTAATTAAGACTAAAATATATAAAAATAGAAAAAACATGCTTCCAAGTATCTTATACATGACTTAAAGCAATTACCACATTCACTGAGATCATCCTAATTATATTTATATACAAGAAAGTTTTATTTCATTAAAATAGCTAACTTAGAGAGATGTTTCCAATGTGAGAACCTTGCTTCAGAAAATAATTGTGTTATTGCTAATCCTACAGATTCAGATTGGCTTTGGATCTGACCTCATTAATGCCAGAATAATAATTACAAAAGAAAAAGTCAACTTTCCTCTGCTGTCTGTTGTTCTTCCTTTCCACTCGATTGGATTTTATGCACCATCCCACTGCTTAAGGGCTTACAAACACTCCTGAGAAACATTTAACACCTAGAAATATTTCAGATAGTTGATGCTTACAAAATACATGAGCACTATGTTTGGTATTATTGGGCTGCGTGATACCTTTCTAATAAACAAGGCTCTTCACCTCTTATGTAGGAGATCACCTTACTTTAGCGATTCAACATCAGTATACAGTTCTAGGAGATTTTGGTGAATTTGCAATAGAGAAATCATATTTGCTTTAATAAATAAGCTGAAATTCCCAAAGCTGTGTTTTCTATGAGGCGGGTCTCTCTCCTGCGCTAACAACAGTCATGTCTCAGTCACTAGTCCCTGACTGACCTAACAACCAGAGCCACATGCAGATGACGCATGATCACCTGTCTTGCTAATGCAAAGGTAAAAAGCATGCAGCCATGAGGTCAAGCCTCTGCTCCACAGAGCTGTGTGGAACCTTCTACTCTAATGATACCCAGCTTACTTGACAGGAATTACACTATAAATTGCACATTATTAAATAAAAATACCCTCTGTTCTCACTGCAGGTGCTTCATGAAAGCTTTGAAACCCACTGTCTGAGAATTGGCTAAGAAGGAACAGGAAAGCCTAGTCCCAAATCTTTGTGCTTCCACATAGTGAAGCCTTAGGACTGTTTGCTTCCTTCACACACGATCTTCATTGATTTGGCTGGGTTCACTGAGTAAGACCAAGAGACTGATTTCAAACCTAAGATCTACTTACTTTCAGTTATATCAAAATAAATCCAGAACAGCTAAGTTGGCATTAGCAATTTTACCCCTGATCTACTCTAATTTAACAAAGAGCCTTACCCATTTCTTACAGAAGTTCATCAGAACCTATCCACTGACTGGCTAAAGAGAAGTCCCCCTAAAGCACCGTATCTGCTGATAAATCCTGTAATAATACAAGGCAGATTTAAAGGATCTCTCATGACCTTTGGCAGGTCAATAGAAAAACTTCTGACTTCAACTGCTGACTTCAGTTAATCAGAATTCCACCTTTACAGAGGTGATTTCTCAGGACTAGAACTGTAAGTCATGCATACCATTCCTTTTTATAGTGCTATCAAACTGTGGCCACCTTTCAAATACACCAAGTATGGCTAAAAAAAATACAGCCATAAATTCAAAAGCATATAGGAAGTTTGGAAATTTAGCAAAAAGAAAGTCATTTTAGATGACAGCTTTAAAAGTCTGTGATAAGCTACCCTTACTTTAATAGCATATTGATCTAGAAGCTCAGGTGGGCTGTGACATTGCTCCTATGAGAGGTATTAAATTTAAAACCAGCGTGACAATACTTTCTTACGATGCCCAGAAAAAGATTTTGCAATGTTTTAGAGACAGCTAATACTGATGTTCGTCCACTGAGCTGAAAGACAAGTTAGGCACTCATACCAACGCATGAGCAGAACCAAAAGATACATGTATTTTAATACTGCCCCATGAGCACACATTATAAATATTTGCAGAGTCTAAAATACACTTAGCTGTCACTTTTTGTTATCCTGCTGATTTGATTTTAGTCAGTTTTAGATCTCCTCTGGTTTACAATTTACTGGTTAACATGGCTGCTGACCATGCTTCGCTGGAACAATCCCATACATTATATACACATCACTCTAATTGTATTTGTGAATTATCCCAAAGAAAAATTGTGCATTTGGTCACTCCGATGAGCAGCTTTAAGAGCTAAAAGGTAGACGTATGTTATCTGCAAAAAGCATGAAGCATTCTTTAGAGATTTATGGCAAGTGTGGGAGAGGTGGGTAGTGCAGAGCCGTCGACACTGGAGCAGCGCAATGCCCTGGGCAGGACCACCACAGCACCCGACAGACGGGACATTGCTGCTGCCTTCGGTAAGCCACCCGAGATGTGAAGATGATGGGTTCTACTCGAGCACACATTATTGGTGTCGTTACTTTTGCAAGGGTGAAAAGGTTAGAAAGGAGTTTGCTCTCATAAATCAGTCATGAGCTAGTAACTTCTCTTTAATAATTTAATGCTCTTCTCTGGAGCAGAGAACGCAATGTTTCCTATTCTCTCGGACGCAGTGCATGTCAACAGGCACACTACTGCAGCCACCCCAGTGGCACCACGAGCTGCGCCGTGTGCTTCCAAGCACGTGGCAGGGCTGTGCTGTGAAGGTCTGCCCTCTCCGGCAGGGCAGTGTCAAGCAGATGACAGGCGGCCATGCTGGGCTGCCACCCTGCCTCAGGCATGCCCTTTGTTAACCCGCAGCTCACATCTGGGAGCAGC